ACAAGGTTGTTCACGTAATAATTGCTAGCCATAATATTACTAAGTCATGCGCATTAATATACTTTCAATTTTCACAAAAGTAGAAAAATATAATTTTATAATGTGAAATAGAATGCTCTTTTCATTTATCATCACTCTGTATATTCTAATGAAAACAAATTTCTCCTTTAGGTAATCTCCTCTTGTCTTGTACATACATAGTACAACCTACTTGATTCATTTAACCCTTTCCACTCGGATGCCGAGTACATATTACATATTAATCTCGCAATTCACGAGTGGAAAGGGTTAACATGAGTTGTTTTATCATAATCAATTGTTTTATGATGAATATAAAAAACATATTGTGATCACACAATAAAATTTATATCACTTACAATTTTGTCTTTTTTTCTTGAATCATTTACGATTACCATTTTACTCGCAATATTTATATAACTCCGTGTAATCCTTAAAATCGTTTTTCTGTTGTCTAAACGTCTGTTACACCTACTGTTTTCTTTCAAATTTATATGCATGAAAAACAGTTTTGCTTTTAAATTACGCCAACCTTCCAGACGTCTGACTTGTCACACGATATGCCTATGTTTCTGAAGGTATATGCGACTACATAATGCCAATGACTTCAAAGGAAAATTGTTCATAAATAGGGCAAATTTATTTTTGTATCAAGTAACATTTTGTCTTTTATCAGAACGAAACCTTACAACTTGCTATATTTATAAAAAATTCTTGTTGTAGATAAAAATATCAGAAGTATTCTGTTACTTCACGTAGAATCTTTTCAACAAAATGTAATGTGAAGTATCAACGTAGAAGCCAAGCAAACTCTTCTTGCGTAGGAAAATTCTGAAAATAGGTGTAAATACTATCTGCTTTGTATTCTTTGAGATATTCTTTGAGACAGCAATTAGAACCTAAGAGTGAGAACCCGATAGATGTTGTCGTAATTAGACCCAATACTAGTTAGTTCTACAGATGGCAACCCAAACAGTTGTCCCATCTCTGTGTGTTGAATTATTATTAAAAATTCTATAATAGGGCAAATATCTGTTGATGCACCAATGCCAAATGAGGGGGCTGTTTTCACTTGGAAACATATTAGTATCTATATTTCCAAGTGAAAACTGATGTCACTACTCCTGACATTTAGGCTGCTCGAAACAGGATCGAATCCTGGACTACTGATAAGAGTCTAGTCGTTCTAACCACTTTCCAACGAGCGAGCCCACATTGAGACACTATTTCAGAATCCTTTATCTATTGTTGATGTAATTTTTCCCATATTAAGAGTATGTTTCAAATTTCCTACGCCTTCGCATCAGTCTTCTCTATGATCACTCATCAGACAGAAGATTTCTGAATTATATTCTACCACAAAATATTAATAAGCAAGCAAAAGCCGTTTCTATATATAGATTTACAAAGAGATGGAAAACAAATATTAGTTTTTTTTTTTTTTTTTTTTTTGTTACAATTTATTTTTGTTAATCAAGACTTTAATGTCTTATTTACAAAATTGATATGAGCAACAAAAAATACAAAAATACAAAAAAATGAACAAATATTAGTGTAACATAAATTAAATTGTACGTCGAGTTTTTGGTAACAAAAGTCCATTCAAATTATTCAGGTATAATGAGCTCGTTTAGAATTCGAAGATAATATAATTATATATTAAATAATGTATAACTAATTATATATCAAACAATGGTACTAGTCTAATAGTAACTGGTAAAACATTATTTTGTGGAAATATTTGTTTATGGAAAAATCCATAATTTTTGAGCTTGATATTATATACCAAAAATTACATAGTGGGGTGAGCAAATTAATCAATACGCATATAAGTTGAATTATAAAAATTCATTAAAGTTTAGAATTTACTCGCAAGACTGAGCGTTTCTAATCAGCTACTGATTACAGTTGACGCCCATTCAATTGAATGACAACTCGATTCAAAGCAAAATGCCTTAAATTGAAAAAGTTTATCAATATTTTAGCCAATTAGTAGAAAATTATGATATTTTTCTCTCTGTATTAAAAGTTCTACTTTGATTTCTATTTATTGAAAAAGAACCAAATAAAAAAGCCTACAAGTTGTAAATTATTTACGGCTAAAAATATTTTGTTAAGCTTAAAAATTGCCCATTAAATTATATTAAAAAGTCAGTTACCAAAATCCAACCATTAATTAATTAATTAAACCTAAACAGGAGATACAAACATGTACAAAATAATGTCGGTGTTATTCAGTGATGCGAGGCTTTGTAAATATGCCCTAATTGGAAATAACAAATACTATATATAATATAGTCATATTATATAATTTTATATAATAATATGTATATAAATTTCAATTATTATATCAAGCTCACACAGCGAAGTAATATAAAAATGTTCGTGCTTTGGTTGAATATTGAAGATTGACCAAAAATAATATTTGGTACGAATTGAAAAACTGATCTCACAGTAACATATATGATATTATTTTAATTATATATTATATATATATATATATATATATATATATATTATTTATATAATATTAAATAATTCATATATTTCATATAACAATATATTTAGTGTAAAATTATTATGGTTCCAAAATGTCACTTTGAATTTCAAATATTATATAACAAATTGATTACGCAAGAGATAATCATGAGTCTAATAATTATTTATAACTGTCCTGTTGCTTTGATCAGAATTATAATCGTTTACGTATTCCGATTGCAATTAGTATTGAATCTACATGGCATGTACCGACAGTTGTATCCATGTACTATTAATTGCGGTATATTATAAGTGCTTTAAACTGTATTTATGGTTACAGACGCTTTGTAATATGTAGTACCAAATACACAGGTGCAATGAAATGATTTGCAATTTGAATAAATAGTGTATCATTAAATTTATTTTCAGATACTAACAATTACAGTTTTGCTCTCTAATAAAATATTTTACTCTACCACCCAATTAAAATATCTATAATTAACTTCGTGTAGGATTCAAAAATCGAAAACAAAATTTTTATATATATTTACGTTTCAAAGGTTTCTGAACATTTTAGCATACCTTGGATAAAATGGATATAGGTGTATGTATTTGTATGTGCGGATATTTGAATGATTCAAAAAACATTTCACTTGTATTGACCAAATGAAGAATTTATTAAATTTTTGGGAAAGCCGATTCAGTGGGGTCCGAGATACAGAAAAAAACTTAGAAAAATATTCTTTGGCGGGCAAAAATGATCATTAACAAATGGTTATAAAATTATCAGATATTTTATAGAGATTTGCAAAATGAGTGCTGATTTTCTTTGAGTTATGTAACATAAATTCTAGTTTACTTCGAAATTTTTACATTGTTTTTTCAAAATTTTCAGAAATATACAAAGTTTCAAACTTTAAATGCAAATTTTAAATTCACAATGCACTTTGAAAATGTATATTCCATATGCGTATTCCATAATCGTAAGAAAAATATCATCAGATGGATTTGTTCGGCATCTCTTGTTAATGTAAACATTCTTAAGTGTCTTATGCAATAAGATATTTGCTATACCATAAATGAGCGGTAAAATATATAGTATTTTTTGAAAATATTTAAAACAATTGCTATTAATCATTGATATTTATGGTTACTGATTTTTCACATCGGAAATTTAATTCTAGTAGTTCAAGCAATTTGACTTTAGGCACGATGGCATGCACCACTAGTTGGAGGTCAAATTGGACATTTAGGGCCGGCCCTATATTCAGCTATTCAAGAATGTACTAAACTCAAGATTTCAAACTAGACTCATAACTTAAAATTATTTAGTTTAAAAGACATTACTTTTGAAAACCTAGTTATATATTATATATATATATAAGTCGGGTTTTCCTTCCTCACGATTTAACTCCAGAACGCACGAACCGATTTCGACAATTTTGCATTCGTTGGAAAGGTCTCGGGCTCCGCAAGTTTTATAGCTAAAATTAGTGGTGCATGGCATCGTGCCCTAATGCAAGTTGCTGGAACTTCACGCACTGTATTTAAAAATTCGAGTAGTGACATTAGTGAGAATTATCAGAATTATGCTTGGTTAAGACAACGAGCAATTCTTGCCGCCAAGAAATATGATGTACACGCACTGAATTTCACCATTTAATCAAAAATTGCTGGCGATTTGGTGACATACCAATGATTCCGACTGGTCTTCCGTTTGACTTCAAACGATTGCAATTTCCAGTTCGCCTTGCGTTTGCAATGAAAATTAACAAAACAAGTCGCAAGGCCAATCGCGTTGTGTTTGCGGGATAAATTTCAAATAGATTATTTATAAAATCAGTGTTTTTCACATGGGCAGTTATACGTTGCCTGTTCACGAGTTAGAAAAACCATCCGCTTTGCTTGTGTTAACGCCAGACCAAAAAACAAAAAATGTGGTTTACCAAAGAGCACTTCAATGAAACGGATAATTTGCGGATTCACTTTCATTTACTTAGAGAAGTTCAACTAAAAAACACTTCATTTTTGTAATCGAAATAAATTCATTACTGTTGTGTAATAAAATCAAATTTTTCCTTTTCAAATATAAAACAAACAAAAAATTTCGTCATCTTTCTCACGAAACCATCTGGTGGCGAAACGGAGTTCGTCGGGTTTGCTAGTTTATTTATATATGTGCGTGTGCTTGTATGTGGGCGTGCAGAATTCAGAATTAATAACGTTAAAATAAGACCCATTTTGAATTATCGATCCTGATACTTGTTCACACGCAATATAAACGCATGTTGTAAATACGTTTTGGATTTCACCGTCAAAAATAACGTTTATAGCTATATTTTATAAAAAAAATAATTGGCTTGGCTAGTTTCTTTTAACAAACAAATACAACCCTTAATATAAATCAACATTTTACTAATTCAAAAATACAACAACTTATTAGCGCCTCTCTTTCACCACCTTTTTTCAATTTCTACTGGTGTTATAATTAGAATTTCGCTCACCTTGCCGCATTGTCTGCATTTTCCTTTCTCCGTCCGCCGATGCACCCAGTGATGGTGCGTGCATGTCTGTTCACGGTATTGCCTGACCCCGACATCTCGGAAGGTCGGTTTGCATTGGAAACGCGCCCGTTCGTTGAGAGCGCTCAGGCAGCCTGCGTGCGCTATCACCTTGCACGCCGAACACTTCAACCGAGGTCCGTGCTTCTGCAATAATAAATAAATAGAAATGTAATTTAGGTATTAACAGGCTGGTAAATAGCTTTGAGAAATAGGTAAATCGATTTTAACGCGAAACAACACAAATATTTGTCGAGCGTTGTTTGGGAATTTCTAATCAAACTGTGTAGTCTTGAGGAATAGTTGTTGGAGTGGGTTGGAATTTACTTAACACTTTATCGATTGCTGGCATAATTGAATGGGTTTATCGATTACCACGGCTTATCGGTCATTAAAGTGGCACTTACGAAATGGGTGTCAAAACCATGAGCGCTGGATGGGACGTTAAATATAACTAGCAAGGGGTACAAATTAATGAACAAGTTTTTGATCTTCTGTAAACTTGCCTATTAGTTATTACTGATAATAGGTCCCAGAATTTCTCATTGATAGAACTATGTAAAGTATAGCGGGACATAAAAATCCACGAGTAAAAAGTCTAACACCATTATTTCAAAAACAAGAAAATTATAAAAAAATAACGATGTGGGTAACCAGCCATCACCTAAATTCTTACGATGTCGCAATCAGAAAGCGAAAAGCATTGTATCAATATTCCAAACAAAAGTGCATTTTTTATTGGTAGCTTTTTTGGTTTTCAGCTCTTTCATTTAGTTTATGATAGCTAAATATAATTTTTAATCATACGCCATTCACATGTTTTTTAAGATCTATTGTTATTTTCAAGTTTGATTCAATTGCGTAAAAAGTCTAAGCTCTCTGTTGAAAATAAGTTGCTGCTATATAAATCAATTATTAAACCAATCTGGACCTACGGAAATGAGCTCTGGGGATGTGCTTACAAATCAAATAATAGCTATAATTCAGTCAAAAATTTTACGTACTATTCTTAATTATCCGTGGTACGTGACAAATTAAACTATTCACAGCGACCTCAACATGAAAACAGTGCAACTAACGTTCAAAGAATTCAAGGAAAAATATAAACGCAAATGACTTGGGGCAAAATTAGCAATCCAGCTTTCTGGCAAAAATAAACTTCTTTATAAAGTTAAATAGTACTATTAATATACGAAAATACAACAAATGATTAGAATTAGCGAATAAATTACAACGCACCTATTCCAATTAATAGTTACGTGAAAGCTAATACTAGACTATTCTAGTCTTGCTAATTTTGTAGCAAATAATATTTAATGTACCAAACACAAACAATATCAATTATTCATTCGTACGCCAGAGACTCTGGTTATATTTAATTATTAATACTTCAACAATATAGCTGAAAATGGATCATTCAAAGGTCAAGTTTAGTTTCTAATTAACTAAAGAGGACAGTGAAGAAAACGTTCGATGTTCATAAATAAATAAGTAATGATACGGAATACGATGCCAACATTGATTTCGACTACAACGTGGAAAATTCATTTCGTTCACAATCAAAGATCACAAAACATTGAGTAGTAGTTTCGGTAATTGCCAATCACACTGTGGGTATTGCCAAAATATCTTTCCTTTCAATAGTCGGACCTTTACGGTAGTTGATTTGTCAAGCCATTTCTTCCAGGTCCATTATATGTTTATATTGTATTTTGTTAATCAGCAAAAAACAGATAGGAGACAAATTGAATAAAGCCGAAAAACCAACTATCATGATAATAACGAGAAACTGTGAATATAATAATTTTTTACAAAACATTCCTGTTTCATTGCAGTTAATCACGATTTGTGTTTGTGATAAAAAGAGATTAATAAATCATTTTAATTTTTTTGGTTCAACTAATTATATTTATGTTCTTTTTTAAATGAATATAAAATTTTACTTTATTAAGAAATAGAAGTCAATAAATATTCACACTAAGACAGTTGCATCTATTAATATTCATATTATTTATCGACATAAACATTTTATTAAATTTATTCTTAATTTATTCGAAAAGGCCAATGGAAATAATTCACGCTACTAAAACCAAACGACCGAACAAAATTATTTAATAGATACATTTAACTATTTACAAAACAAATAACAATGAGTTTAGAGAACGTATTATATTTTTCATTATTAGTTTATTTACTTTATAAGCAAATACATTAGTCATTACAAAACGTTGAACGAGTTTATTTTACAATTTTTCAAAAATATATTTCATAATAACACAAAGCACAAAAGTACTATATTACAGTATTTTCCTTCAGTTTTAATACTCAAACGTCTCGAACGAAAAAAGCTCACGTGCTTTTAAAAGCTTCCGCCAAGATAAATCTTCTGGGTTCTTATAAAAGAATTAGAAAACGAATATATACAACACATGTATTTATTTATTATGCTCATTCTGATATAATGGCATTTTGGTAAACACAAATATTTGTGTAGGATCCAGGTATTTATTTGAAATAGATTTTATTGTGGGGAATTATGAGAGAATAAATGCGGAATAATAGGTATAAGGTATTATAATTCTAATATGTTGTCTTAAATAATAAAGTACTAAATATTGTAGAATTAGGTTCTGTCGCTAATATTTTCACTTATTTTTTAAAAAAAAATACTATATGGTATGTAAAACTTGTAATATTGCATCTTCAAAACGTTTTTTTTCTTCTCTCGTTAATAATTTTCATATATTATTCAAATATATTTCTGTACTATTATGCAAAATCACAATTGTTTATATAAATCATCACTAGTTAATTATCAAAATTGCTTAAAACAACACGCAAATATAACTTTTGCTGTCAATAAATAACAATTAATTAGTACCAAATTAGAGTAGATAAAACTTGATTAATTATATAATTCATGTCGATACTATGTATGAATTCATTTAAATCATGTATATACGAGATATATATATATATAATATATATATATACGATTAACTGAGAATATATAAACTTAAAAACAGTAAGAAAAACCTCAAAATGTTTTTTTTTATGTTACTATTTATTGTCGACGTTTTGACAACTATTTTACGTGGATGAAATTTAAAAAAAAATCTCGTTAAACTAGATAATATTGTCTGTAAAATGAACTACGATAAAGAAAAAAAAATCATAAATTGACAAAATGACGGCGTTTTTAAAAAAAAAAGTCGAATTTTACCCAAAATTTTGGTCGTTTTTAGACTGCCAAAATTCGATTTTTTATCCGATCAAAAAATCGATAGTTCATTTTACGGAGAACTATATATATAACATGTAAAAATTCATAGTGATCAGATCATTCGGTTTTGAGTAATCGCTGAAGCAAATTCGGAAAATGCTGTTTCGAGAAAAACGCGTTTAAAGATTAAATGATCGTTATACTATATATTATATATATATATATATATATATATATATACTCTTTAAATTGCTGTAACTCAAAAACTATTTAAGATATTAATTTAAAATTTTGGTATGTTATTTTTAAGGTATAACCTATTGAAATATGGAACAATTGAAAATTCGATTTTTTGAAAATTTCACACTAGTTGTGCCCCTTAAACAAAATTGCTATACTATAATAGTTCAATTATCCCACTGACCGTGCAGTCATTGTCAGCCAGGTAGCAGTAGTCCCCGGACACGGAAGTCGGCTGCCACATATGCTCCCCGCTCAGCGCAGCCTCGCCCAGTCCGGGGTGCTCCGGATGGCGCGACCCGTGCTGCCGTCCCGGAAGCTTTTCTGTAAAGGAGAGCATTGATTGGATGAGATATTGTAACAGGTTCGAGTCATAAATTTTAAAACAGTGCATTCTCAGTACAATATGAAAATAAATGGATCGAGATAAAAATATACAGAGAGAATAAAAGAAGATTTAGATTTATGGTTAAGTTTGAATGTAATAAGAAATATACGTGTATTGCCAAAATCGAGAGGAAGTATTATTTATCATAATAATACATGATCTTAAATTTCAAAATGATATCTAAATGCTAAAAGAATATATTAAAATTTAAATAATTATATATAAATAATTATTCTTTATTATGGTAAATGCACCGAAGGTACATACACTAATAATTTCCTAATCATATCTATTATTAACAGATAACATTATAAATAGGTAATTTTATTAAAAAATAAAATAAATTTATATATTATTACTTAACAAAAAAAATTCTTCATTTGTTTCCTTACATTATATTTAATACCTATATACTATCATGTATGTCATTGAAGATTGACTTCAGAAAAAAAATCATTCAAAAGGTTACACGAATGAAATTATGAGAATGAAATTTGTATGGTTAAATTTAATTTTGAAACCTCATATTTTAATTAAATATTTGTCAAATACTATTCTAAATAACTTTGAGTTAAATTATTTTAATATTTATCATATGATTATGTTGTATTCTCTTTAGGTTTGTTGTATGATTATGTTTGTTTGTTTATTTGCATCAGTTTACTTAAATATATTTAAAAAAATACAAGAAATTCAAATATAGTTGATAAATATTTAGAAGCAATTTTGCTAGCATTTGTGTTATATTTTCACTTTATAAATAAGTGTACATGAATTGATAAATGTGTATATTTTAGAGTTTAAATTAAGGAGTACATTTAATTTCTCACCAGTTTTCATTTAATGGCTATATATTATCATGCATTTAATGCGAAAATCATTCAAAAGCAATGCGGATGAAATTATAAGTTATAAATTATAATAATAATATAAATTATAATAATTATAATCTCAAAGTTTAATTTATAATGAATTCATACTTCACTTTATCTCTGCGTATTTAAAATAAAAGCTTGAGTTCCTGGTAATTTTTAGAGTATAATTAATTTTTGGTATAGTTACAAAGAAATAAATAAGGATAAATGCTTAGAAAAAGCACAATATAAATTGAAATTAATATTGATGTTATTGTACTAAATATTTACTTGAGTTCTTTTTGGAATCATTTTAATTCAGTATTTTCTCAGCAAAGCTTACTTGTTTGAAATTCAAGAATAAAAAGAATTTATATATATATATATATATATATACATATATATATATATCTTCTTATATATAAAAATAAAGCTCGGGATTATAATAGGTATGCTAAAACCCGAAAATGGCTGACCGATTTGGCCAGTTTTAGTCTTGAAAGGTTTGTGATAATCCAGAGCTTGTTGGAAAGGTGAAAAATTATTTCAAAATCTCGTTATTTAATATTTATTTAGAAAATTAGTAAATTTTAATGCAGAAATAGTTTCAACTTATTGAATTATTGTCATTTATGAAACTGTAGATTAATGTATTACTAATTCGCAAAACATTTTTATTATATCTGTCCTAAAATTTAAATTGAAGCTATAAAACTTAAAATATGTAAAGTTTTAGATTAGTAAACAAGCAGTAATGACAAATTAAATACAAAAGGACAAGTTAGTGACTAATCCTTCGTTGAGAATATGTAATTAAGTTTTGTCAAGAGGCTTAGCATGGGTTGATGGTTCATGCGACAACATCGTACCTTACTTAGAAAATCTCTCAACCGTACTTACACCAGGAAAACAGAGGGATTTGTAAAACTTCAGAAGTTATACAATTTAAAATAATATTATAAAAAATAATAAGGCCAGTAGCACTAGATACAGAAATTTGAAAATGGAAATAGCAACTATGTCCATTTGAGAAGTTTTTATTTATGCTTGATAACAGTTATTGAATATAAGTAGTACCTATTATAGGAATACATAATTGGTAACACAATATAGTGAAATAAAATTTATTTGTATTAGTGCAGACGGTTTTATTATAAATTAATAATTCATTTTGCAAAAAAATATAATAAAATTTCCACTTCAGAGACTATGGTGTAAATATTATTAATTTCATTGTCTTCTTGTCTAGTTATTTATTTTGTATCAGACATTTTATAAGAATGATAATATCGTAGACAGAAAAATGAATTTTGATAGAAATTATACATATGAAATTGTAAGTGAAATGTGATTTTAGAATATGTGTATGCATAATTAGAACAACAATAGTTATGATTGGTGGGGACAACTCGAATCAAAAATATTCATCATGAGTGGTTTTTCTTTGCCATACCACACTACGTGCCCAAATAGGTTATTCGATTAGAGATATCTTTTTGATCTGATATTTAATTATATATATATATATATATATATATATATATGTATATATATATGTATATATATGTATATATATATATATATATATATATATATATATATGTATATTATAATTGATTACTAAATATGATTCGTTTTAGAAAACTGTTGAAATTCAGAAAGCGTGAAGACTGTACCGTTGTTTTGCACGTGCCATTCAAATATGTCACCGGGATTACGACTGTCTCGAACAGTGTACTCATGTTTTACATTAAGAAGGTCGGGTCCAAAATATGTGAACAAGTAAGTAATCTCAAAATACCATTGTGTATAGTTCTCGTGAGAACAAGCCGTAGAAATACGGTCAGAAATTACAAAGCTACGAATATATCACACGTACAGTTGTTAAGGAACTTATTAATCACGTTAAACAATAGCTGAAAGTAGTTGGAACTAGCATTTTGCCTTGAGGCAAGTTGCATAAACTTCCCTATACGTATATATAATCAACTTAATTAATTAAAGTTGTCACTAATCTATTTAGATGAAATATACAATTTTTCATTTCAAAAAAATGTTTTCGCTTTTACTAAAAAATAATCGATACGGCTTTCAATTGATGTCTTTCAAACACACTTATACTATCTGTAATTGTATGAATCAAATTAATTTGTTTAACACAAATCATTTCATTCATTTGCTATTTTAAAAAAATATTTTATTTAAGTGTGGACGTCAACTGTAATCAGTAGTACATGCAATACATCAAACAACTACGACACTGTTTCTGACTTGAAATGTATTTTTATAATTCATCATTTGAAAAGTTAATAAAATATTTTATGATAATAAAAATATTAACCCAATATCACAAATATTTATTTTAATTATTTTTTAATATAATGTAGGGCCTATTATACTGAATCATCGTAAAATATTGACCTTGTAATATTTCGTTAATATATGAATTGTTAATAAACAATACATCGGGTAAAGTTAAAAAAAGTTCATTTGCAAAGTTTTCTAGATTTTACTAGTAAGGCTATATAGTAATTTTGGTTAGATGCCTATTGTTTAAAACAATACGTAAGAAAAGCGTAGTGCTCATTGACCTCATACACATGTTGTATTTATTTACTCAAATATTACATATTATTTTGTTCATGTATTTTTGCAGGTTCAAAATGATCAAAAACAGTTTTCATTTTTTGTGAAATTCATATACATTCATAATTTATAAAAATGGTAAACTAGTTTAGCATTAATAAATAATTTTTTAATTTAAATTATAGACAATGCGTTCAAATTATGTTCCCGATCCATAAATTTAGCTAGCATTTTTTCACAAATACTTTTAGTCATGCAGCTGAAAGTACATAATTAATATAAATAATATTAAATAATTATTTGAAAGATTAAATATTGACAAATAATTATTTGAAAGATTAAATATTGTTTCTTTAATATAAAACTAACTGAATACTGTTTTTGTTTTACACGAAATGCAATTACTCAGAAATTGAAATAATATTTGATAAAAGTGGCTAATACAAAATGTCGGTTTATCTTGATCTATAATAATCAACATGGCATTATATATATATATATATAATTATTAAACTCAAATTAAACATATATATATATATATATATATATATATATTTATATATATATATATATATATATATATATATATGAGTGAGTTCTTGAGGGCGATACATCAAACAAAGAAAAGCCAAAGATTTATAAAATAATCTTTATTTCCAAACGTTTCGACATTCAATTTAATGTCATCATCAGTGGATCTAAAAACAGTATGAAAATTAGCATATCTAGGTATTATAATATATGTGGATTGGTAAAGTAACTATACAATAAGAGAAAAATTAACAAACAGCAACACTTAACAACAAACCAAATATAAAAGATAGGAAAGGTAGTAGAGACTAGAATTAAATAAATAATTAAAAAGTATAGGCAAAAATATTTAAGTACACTCATATAAACCTACGCATATATACATATATATACATACACATATACACACATATACATATATATACATATATATATATATATACATGTATATATCCATATACACACACATACAAACATATAATACACATATACATATACAGATACAACAATATATACCTATATATGTACACATATACATGTAAGACTATACACATATAAATATACGTATATACATATATGCAACGTGCAAGCATATTCACAACGACGTACATGTACATGTATGAACCATACATATACTCATACCTATCTATGTAACTATAGCTATACACGTATACACATACATATACGCATAAACATGTATATACACATATATACACACACATATATATACATATATATACATACATATATATATATATACACACAATACATATATATATATACATATGTACATAAATGCTCACAAATATATATATAAATATATACACATACATATATATACATATATATATTTTGTGAGCATTTATGTACATATGTATATATATATATGTATTGTGTGTATATATATATATATGTATGTATATATATGTATATATATGTGTGTGTATATATGTGTATATACATGTTTATGCGTATATGTATGTGTATACGTGTATAGCTATAGTTACATAGATAGGTATGAGTATATGTATGGTTCATACATGTACATGTACGTCGTTGTGAATATGCTTGCACGTTGCATATATGTATATACGTATATTTATATGTGTATAGTCTTACATGTATATGTGTACATATATAGGTATATATTGTTGTATCTGTATATGTATATGTGTATTATATGTTTGTATGTGTGTGTATATGGATATATACATGTATTTATATATATATATGTATATATATATGTATATGTGTGTATATGTGTATGTATATGTAGCGGGTTGCCAACACGCATAGCGGCTTGTCAACACGCATCACATGTCTCTGGACAGATTGGCCCATATAGTGACAGCACTGAGAAAAACAAAAGGAAATTCAAGTGTCAGATCGGACACGGTTTTTGTTTCTCCCTATTAGTTTTTGCCAAAATGTATAATTCTTGAAACCTTTCTTTTCAATTATAAATAAGAAAATACCAATAACGTTTTATTAACGATCAGTATGACAACACATAGTGTCGTGGATATTAATCATATATAAAATAAACGAAATATAAATAATATTTTATGGAATTTATTATTACTACAATTTGGATAATATTGGTATTAATATGGAGGACTACTACACCTCCATATTTTGGTGACCCCGAGAGTGAACTAGTAACACACATACAAGAAGGTAAGAAGATCAAGACATATTTTGAAGTAGCACAAAAAAATAAATTGAAGTCTCAAGAATTACTAAGAAAAGAATTTTTAAAAATATAAATAATTATTATAAATGGCTCACAACCGCCATAACTAGAAGAACATTCTAATCCTACAACTGAGACTCCGACCACGCACTTCAAGATCAACAATAACACGTGCTCAATAAATCACTTATTATCATGGTAAATAAGTCGATAATAAGCACCATGGCAACAGACAGGGAGCAAACAATTTGGCAACCGCCACATACACTCAACCGCTAACTCACCAGCGAAGGGCCACATACAATCAACCGCTAACTCACCAGCGAAGGGCCACATACAATCAACCGCTAACTCACTAGCGAAGGGCCACATACAATCAACGGCTAACTCACCAGCGAAGGGCCACATACACTCAACCGCTAACTCACCAGCGAAGTGTCAAATATACTCAGCCGCTAACTCACCAGCGAAGGGCCACGTAAGCAATCAACAAACTCAACAA